TTGGAAGGGATCATTGAGAACATAGTACATTCTCAATAAGTGTTAGTTCTTATTATCTAGAACTACTACAAATGCAAATATTTCCAAACACAGGAAAGTTGGGATACCTACACTGGCCTCCTCTTTTACTTCAGGTGGCTTCTTTGTGACTACTTGTCTTTTTTCTTGATTCTTTATTGATGCATAATAATTGTACTTAATAGGAGAATTCATTTGAGACATATTTGTACTGGCATGTAATATGATTGAATCACTTTTATTCCCACAATCCTCCTCTTCTCCCTCCACCTGACCGTCCTGTACCCTGTTGTCCTCCCTTCTCTTTTCATAAGGTCCTTTTTTTACATTTTTCTCTCTCTAGCTTCCACATATGAGAGAAAAATAAGACTGGTTGCCTTTTATAATAGATATCTGTTAGGCATTGAAGGTAAATAAATGCTGATCATTGGTTTGTCATTTGTTCATCAAATATTGAGCACCCCATATGGTTCACCAAGCACTCTAATATGCATTGGGAATGCTGTGATGAACAAATCAGACATGGTTCTAGTCCTCATGGGATGTTCAGTTATTTATTAATAATATTTAAATAGTAATAATAATACTACTTTTTTCTACATTATTTCAGAAAATTTTACCTAAATTACCTGATTTTTTTTTTTTAGTTTTACCTTTAATTAACTTTATAGCTTCACACTAAAGAGAAACATTTAGCAGTAGTTGCTTCACAATCAATGGGGGGGAAAAAATCTTAATTCCCCAAATTATTTTCAAACTCCTATGCTGCCTGTGATCCTACTATTTATAGGAATGTTATTTTACATAGTTGATATTATTATATATGCATTGTTTTGTTTTGCTTCTTCATTTCCTATTGCTTTTTCTGATTCTCCATCATTTTCATAGTTATCGTCCATGTTCTGATGTTACACCAGTGTGTCCTTGAGTAAGTGATTTGAAACAGAAGGTTGTGGCCATGTTCTCCCTAGTCTAATGACAGTTTTAGTTTTCTGGCTTTTGTTTCTTTGAAAAGGGGTCTTGCTATTTTGTCTGGCTGGTTTCAAATTCATGTGCTCAAGTGGTCCTCCTCCTGCACAGCTCTCCAAGTAGGTGAGGAAATAGGTCCAGGAGCTATACTTTGAGCTATTTTATTTTTTCCCAAAATTGATGCAAGAGTTTGTTTTTGTTCTGCTTTGTTTAAAATGACAGCCTTGAAAGTCACTGAGTATCAGTTATTGCATTAATATTGAGGTGCAAGAACTCTACTCCCTCCAGTTTCTAAGCACCAGTTCCTGGGCTGCCTCACTCACGCTTTTGCCTACCCCCCCACCACACAGTCTTAGCAATTGTTGCCCTTCCCACCTTATCCTGTGGTTTCTTATTTTCTTTATTAATCCTATATTAAAGTCCATTATTAGTGCCTTTGAAGATATACAGCAAGTTAGTTCCCAGGTTAAGGCTTAAACAAGTACAATGACTTATTTTTTCTTTGTAGAAATAAAACCAGGTTACACCTCAATGATTGCCCTGGTTGAAAAGCACAGATTGTTCCTGTTGGGCCTTCTTCTACCTTTGCAGTCAGATCCCTAGCCCCTGTCTGTGAAACTGTGACAGGTATTTTCCCTGGACCCTTAGACCTCTTCTCACACATGTTTATTTTTTGTTGTTGATTTTTCACCAGAATGTCCAGAATGTATATGTTCAGCTTTGACCCAGTTCTGTTTCCTACACAGCTAAACTTTTCTGAAAAGGAATTTATGATCTTTCCTTATAAATACCTGCTGCATTCTACCTTTCCCCAAGCAATCTCTCCCCACCCCACCCCCACTATCCCCAGTGGTGAGAGGATTGACTCCCGGGCCTCACACACACTAGGCAGTTGCTCCATACTAAGCTTCATCCCTAGCCTTTTTTTATTTCTCACTAACTTGCTGAGACTGGCCTCAGACTTTCGGTCCTCCTGCCTCATCCTCCTGAGTTGCTTGGGTTACAGGTGTGTGTACCTAGCTTCATCACTACTGCAAGGCCTGGCATTTCAGAGGTGCTTAGCAAATTTTTTGTCAAGTGAATGAGTAAATTGTTTCCCTTAGTCACATGCCACTCATTCTTTATCGCCTACACTTTACTTGTCATTGAGCTGCTGCTTTGTTGAGTTCTTCTCAGTTATCATGCCAGGCCCTGGGGCCATGTGACCATTTCTGTACCCTCCTTGCTTTCTGCCTTCAACCTTTCCTACTTCATCCTGCCTTATGTAGCAAGGGCCCTCTCCCTTAAATATTAGAGGGATTGTATTAAAACATTTATTCTTGAGCCTCAGGATTTGCCACTATTTAGATTCTTGCTGTCTTCCTCATTCACCTTTCTCTCCTGATAAACATTCCCTGATATCCTTGATTCCAGCTTTCCACCATCCTGTGAGTGCCTTAAGCCGACCCTGTCCCCTGCACTGACCCTATTCCCTGCACCAAGTTGTGTCTCGCTTCTCTGTCATCATTTTTTAAAATATTTTTTTAGTTGTAGATGGACACAATATTTTTATCTTATTATTTATTTTTATGTGGTGCTGAGGATCTAACCCAGTGCCTCACATGTGCCAGGCAGGCGTTCTACCACTGAGCCACAACCCTAGCCCCTCCTCTGTTATCTTGTAACTGAAGACTCACCCCCATAAACCTCTCAAACTAATCCCACATACTCAAACACAGACTTTCTTAACTCCTGTAATGTTCTCACTTAGAGCAACATATCCTGTTCCATTTGGTCTAATACATTTTTCAGAGCTGGGTAAACGATTCATTTACTCATTCACCAATTAGGTAAATTACTGCTGTGGCCAGGCCCTAAATAAGATGCTAGGACACAGAGATATTTCAAAATTTAATGGACAGTCATTACCCATCCCATATCCTCGTAGATTCATAAATGTTCCTAATTTTATAAATAGATGAGATTTTGTAGCATCCTTAAATCTTACAGGTGATTGTAACTTCTTTGGCTCTCTAAAATATCGATTGCACACCCTAAGGTGTGTGTTTCATTCTGATCTGTATGGTGTCCCCTACTCTTAGTATCTTTTTAAATGCCATTCCTGGGAAGTTCATCATGCTCTCCCCTGCTGCATTTTTTAAAAATGTACTTAATCCCTTTAATCTATTTAATCCTTAGATTTTAGTGACCAACTTGGATTTCCACGATGAGCAGAAACGCCGGAACCTCAATGGGACCCTTCACGAGCTCCTCCGGATGAACATCGTCCCCATTGTCAACACAAATGATGCTGTTGTCCCCCCAGCTGAACCCAACAGTGATCTCCAGGGGGTAAATGTGGGTAGAGTATTCCTAAGGGTTGAGCATGCTGAAGACACTAATGCATGCTATGCTGCATGGACTAACACTACCAGTTTGGCTTGAGCAAGATGGCAGAAGTGGGAGAGAAGCTGGCATCCGCAGAGCAATAGCTGCAAAAGCCAGGGTGAGGTGCTGTAGAGACTTAGATGGTACTGTGAGCATGGCTTCTGTATTTCTGTGGCTAGAAGTCTGCATGTGTGGAAAAGGGGTCACCAGTAGGTATTGTGTTTTGCAGACAAAGGGGCCTGCAAGAGCTGTCACCTGTGTATTTGGGGTCGTTGGTTTTGCCTGCCAGAGCCTTGCTGGATGCTTTTGTGAATTTCTTTTTGGACTGCATGGCTTACTCACTCATGACTTTCCTCCTTGCATTCTAGGTTATTAGTGTTAAAGATAATGATAGCCTGGCTGCCCGCCTGGCTGTGGAAATGAAAACTGACCTGTTGATTGTTCTTTCAGATGTAGAAGGTACACAGCGATGCCATTGTCTTTTATCTGCATGTGGGAGCAATGAGTTTTCCTCCTTGTTGGAGTCCTTCTGATCTTTTTATTTTTACTATGGGCCATTATTTTCTGAGCCATATGGTCTAACAAAGGGATTTTATGACTCAAAAGAGGGTGGGCAAGTTTGAGAGATACCGTTTGAGTGCTGAAATACTATTTCCAGGTGCTTTCAGTTTCCCTTTTTTATAATAGCTTTATAGAAATGTAATTCACATACCAAACAATTCACCTATTTAAATTTTGCAGTTCAACACCTTCGTTATATTCACACAGTTGTGCAGTCATCACCACAATCGATTGTAGAATATATTCATCACCCCGACAAGAAACCTCACACCCATCTGCAGTCACCCCCACCTCCCCACCACTTCCTTCCACACTCTCAAGCCCTCAACAAACTCCAGTCTACTTTCTGTCTCTGAATTTATATGTTATTAACACTCTATATAAATGGAATCATACACTGTGTGGTCCTTTGTGAGTGGCTTCTTTCACTGAGCATAATGTTTTCAAGGTTCATTCATGTTGTAGTATCATGTTAATTAACTTTCCATCACTGTGACAAAATTCTGGAGAAAATCAACTTAAGGAAAGATTTATTTTGGCTCATAGTCTCAGAAAATTCAGTCCATGCTTGACTGCCTCTATTGCTTTTAGGCCTGTGGCAAGGGAGAACAACATGGTGGGGAACATTGGTGGAACAAAGCTATTCACTTCATTCTGATGAGGAACCAGAGTGAGGAAAGAAGGGGCCAGAGATGAGAGATACCTTTCAAGTGCATGCAGTGACCCTCTTTCTATAACTAGGCCCCACTTCCTAACATTTCTGCCATCTTCTAATAGCTCATTAAATTATCAGTTCATAAGTGGACTAATTCATTCATGAGGTCAGAATTCTCATCAGCCTGTCATTTCTCAGAGGCCGCACCTCTTCACAATGCTGCATTAGGGTCCAAGCCTTCAATACATGAGCTCTGGGGGACATTTAAGATCTAAGCCTTAACAAGTATGAATTAATCAGACATAACTTTCCTAGCCTTGCATTTGAATATACAACCTGGGTAACACCACATGATGTACAAACCACAAGAATAGGATCCTAATTAGAATAAGTTATGCTTCATGTGTTTATAATATGCCAAAATACATTCTACTGTCATGTATAGCTAAAAAAAAATAAAAAATTAAGTTCGAATCAGTTAAATAGTATACCCAAGTCATACAGCAAGTGTTTGGCTAAGGCAAGTTTCCAATGTAAGTCTATACTGTTGGAAAATCATTCACCCTTCTCTCCTTTACTACCTGGAAAGGTAAAGGATGAGAGTTTATGAGGTCATTATGAACCAGTTTGAACTCGACTGTAGTAAACTGTTCTGATGCAGCTTCAAATATCTCCAGACTTAATGAATCTAATTGATTGTCCCTCAAATGTTGATTCTTAAAATAATGTCAGAATTTTAAATATGCTGTTGGTGAGGTCAAGAGGCTGCTGCAAGGGAGAGAAAGGAGTGGGCACGATTCCAAAACAGTAGGAGCTCCTGCATGCCTGGTTCGTTTGTCTTAGAACTGTCCAGTCTTTCCCATACTATTACATGAAACCTAACAGCCAGCCTCGCGGTCCTAGCCTGTTATCTCATAGCACTGTAGTTTTTGGTAGAACCAAGCTTGGGATCCTAAAGAGCCGTGGGGTGGCAGCTGAGCTAACAGGCTGTGCAGGCTTACTCTTCTTTTTCCTGTATTTGCTGCTCTTTCTTTACACTGCTTTGTTCTATGCTGGACACTGATTTCCTCACACCCCCAGAAAGGTTGTATATATAACAGGGTTGTTTTGTATATCTGGGATAAATGAGGGGAGAGGTATACCATGACACAGAAAAAGCAGTGATTTAGAGTCCAAATGTCACCACCTGAAGTCTCTTTTGCCCTCAGCCATGAGCACTGCCTTTCTACCCATGTCCCCCCTAGGTCCTGAGTTGACTTCGTTTTCTCTCCACCTTTTTTTTTTCCTTCCAAGGCTGGTACTCCTTTTCAAATTGTGGGAGTTTTTAACCTGTATTGTATATGTATAACCTTTCACATAACTAGTTTATATCACCTTACTCAATTACATATGTTTTATGGTGATAAATCCAGAGTGAATGCTGAGAGTCATGAGCTCTCTTGCTGATTCAATCCAACCTCAAAAACTACTCACTTATAAAATGGGGAGGATAAATTAGTGCCTATTTCAGAGGGTACAATCAGAGTTAATGAGTTCCTATTTCACATTCCTTCCTGCTTGGAAACAGTCATGTTAAATAGTGTATAGCTGCCACACTGTTTCTGAAGGAGCCCCTCTTCTTTTTCAGTTATGTCCTTGAGGTATAGCATGATAAAAATAGCGATGGCAGAGGGAAGACACTTCCTAATGGAGTCTGAGCAGGGCCAATAAATTGTGTGCCAAGGGTACAAGAAAGTACAGTAGTTTTCTAGATTAGTAGCTGGTCCTGGGAGGCCTGTCTGGGGGACACACACTTCCATCAAAGCAGTATTATTGACTCTTGTCCACTTTTTAGGCCTCTTTGACAGCCCCCCAGGGTCAGATGATGCAAAGCTCATTGATATATTTTATCCTGGAGACCAGCAGTCTGTGACATTTGGAACCAAGTCTAGAGTAGGGATGGGCGGCATGGAAGCCAAGGTAAGAATTGGGCCTTAACACTCTGTACAGCAGTTGTTTTTTTGTTTTGGGTACCGGGGATGGAACCCAGGAACACTCCACTACTAAGCCACATTCCAAGCCTTATTCTGTATTTTATTTAGAGACAGGGGCTCACTGAGTTTCTTGGCACCTTGCTTTTTGCTAAGGCTGGCTATGAATTCATGATCCTCCTGCCTCAGCCTCCCAAACCTCTGGGATTACAGGCGTGTACCACTGTGCCCAGCTGACAACAGCAATTGTAAAGCTAAAACAGTACTTTTTCTTTATAATTTTAAAATTATTTGAAGGCTAATGGTTCAGATACCAGGCACATACACATAAATACATATTTATCACTGGGAGCTGTAGCTCACACTTATATCCCAGCAACTTAGGAAGCTGAGGCAGGAAGAGCACAAATTTGAAGCCAACAGTAACAGCTTAGCAAGACCCTGCCTCAAAATAAAAAAATTTCTTAAAAAGGGCTGAGGACGTGACTCAGTGAAAGAGTGCCCTTGGGTTCATTACCCAGTACTACAAAAAAATTTTTTTTTCATTTATCTGAATATGGATAAATAGATAATGAGTATTGTATACCTATGTTTAATCATGTCTATATGCATCTTTTTTTTTATTAAGATTATATAAACATTGGGCTGGGTTTGTGGCTCAGAGGTAGAGCGCTTGCCTAGCATGCATGAGGCACTGGGTTCAATCCTTAGCACCACATAAAATAAAAAATAAAGATATTATGTTCACCTATAACTAAAAAAAATAAAACAAAAGATTATATAAACAATGTGTTCATTTGTAAACTCCTTGAAGGCAAGGCCTATATAATTGTCACAATTCATAAATCTTCTACTATTATCATCTCAAATATTTTTAATGTTATTTTTCAAAATTTTTCTCTCCCATTAACTGTTCTAAGAAGTTATGCCATAAAGGCACAGCATCATATGTAGCAATGACAGAGATAAGGATAAGAGCCTGTTTGCAAAAACTAACTCTGGTCAATTTACTGGCTGTGCACTGAGCTGTTGCTAAGCTGAGGCATAAGAAGTTAAAACCCAGAAATTACCATTCCACTACCAGAGAGTCTCAAAGACAGAATGTGCTTAAAAGAAAGAATAGGTTACTACTTCTTCAGACAACATGTGCCAGGATTAGGCTAGGGAGAGAACATGGGCAGCATGTGTTTCCAGAGGTTCTGAGCTATTGAAAACATTCCTGCGTTTACTTAAGTTGCTCAGTGTCAAATTGTGTTTGATATATTTTTAAAGGCTTAAAGTGAATGTGGTAGGTCTGAATTTTATCTTTGACTCTAACCTGTCCCATTAGGTGAAAGCAGCCCTCTGGGCTTTGCAAGGTGGCACTTCTGTTGTTATTGCCAATGGAACCCACCCAAAGGTGTCTGGACATGTCATCACAGACATCGTGGAGGGAAAGAAAGTTGGCACCTTTTTTTCAGAAGTAAAGCCTGCAGGTAAGTAGTTCTTTATAAGGTCCCGAAGCTGGTAGATTGTAGCTAGTGACACCCCAGCTGAGATGGGACTGAAGTGTAGTCTATCACTCTAGGACTACAGATCACAAAATCATATAATCGGTGTGCTAATATTATGAAATCTGCTGCTGTTTTAAACACGTTTTGCAAAATTGGGTTTTCCTGTTTTTGTTTTGTAAAATTCTGTCTATCCTGCCTAGTTGGCTTCCTATTCTCTCAAAAATCACTACGTTAAAGAATATACACTTCCATTTTTTCAAGAAACATGAATGCAGTGGATATCAGGTAGTAACAAGCACTAGAGATGTAAAGATGCATAAGAATGGCATGTGCTCTCCAGTGTTCACATTGGGTAGAATTACCTTATAATCTGCACTTACAAATACAAACACCTGAGAAAATAAAAAGCCAAAATGGAATTGGAAGGAACTCTAAAACACCTAAAGCATATTGTCTACCCCAGAAATATAGGCAAGTTCCTGTGTCTATACCAGAGTTACTTTGGCACATTCCTTTGCCCTTTTATGGTCATGGTGATCCCACATGTGAAGCAAGCACACCAGGACACCAGGCTTTCCTTCTGCATGTGATGAGCCTGATCTGGGAAAGTGAGAACCAAGCTGACCGCAATCTGATGTTTGCATGTGTTCTTACAGGCCCGACTGTTGAGCAGCAGGGCGAAATGGCTCGATCTGGAGGAAGGACGTTGGCCACATTAGAACCTGAGCAGGTAGTAACCTCAGCTGATGGTTTTGTTAGTTTTTCAGAGTGAGTCTTGCTGTACTGTTTGCACAACAGTCAAGCTTGCTGACCCCCCTGTATTCCTAGTGTCCATGCAGTTTTCCAAATTGTAAGTCTGATTCAGATTCACTCTGCCTTTTTTCTTTAAATTTATTTCCCTTTTGTGTTTTGTTGGCTGAGGCCTAGGGTAGCTTTACAACATTATGATGTTTTGATTGAAAGCATGAAAATGATGACATGGGGATGGTCATATAATAGCAGGAAAATGTAGGAAAGTTCTCCATACCCATTCCCAATCACCAACCTTACCTGGGAGATGGAAGCTTGAGACTGCTCCATAGTTGGCGCCCTGCCCAGTCTACAATGAATCAGGCCTGAATGAATCTCAGTAGCATACTGAGGCTGGACATGGAAAGGACATGGAAAGGCAGACAGGTACAAGCCCAGGGCCGGCTCCCTAGGACTATATTATTGAGGATGGTTTTGAGAGTGATATATGTAAGTTTCTTCTGGGAAACATGTTGACCTGAGAAAGAAGAATTTAAAATAATTACAAGTACAAAACAGAAAGCAAAGGAGGAGCCTATCTTCTCTCTCAAACTACTTCTCTCAGCTCTCAGTGATCACCACATTTGCCACATTTTCCAGTCTGGTAGGCAAAGATTGGAGTCTCTTCAAGCACCTAGGATTGGAGTTTTTCCCCTTCAACTTATTACATCAAATAACTGACAAGAAAGAAAAGCCAGCCAGGCATGGTGTTGCATGCCTATAATCCTAGTGGCTTAGGAGGCCGAGGCAAGAGGATCACAAGTTCCAGACTAGCTCCAGCAACTCAGCGAGGCCCTAAGCAACTTAGCAAGATCCTGTCCGAAAATAAGCAAAAAGGGTCAGGGGCTTGGTTAAATGCCTCTGTTCAATCCCTAGTACCAAAAAAGAAAAGAAAAAAAGCCAGATATGAAAAATTACCTGGGAAGTAAACTATCTAGTGAAATTAAATCTGTAAAGATGTATCATCAGGGGCTGGGGATGTGGCTCAAGCGGAAGCGCGCTTGCCTGGCATGTGGGTTCGATCCTCAGCACCACATACAAACAAAGATGTTGTGTCCGCCAAAAACAAAAATAAATATTAAAAAATTCTCTCTCTCTCTTTCTCTCTCTCTCTCTCACTCACTCTTTCTTTAAAAAAAAAAAAAGATGTATCATCAGGACTGGGGTTGCGGCTCAGTGATAGAGCACTTGGCTAGCACATGGGAGGCACTGGATTCCATCTTTAGCACCACATTAAAAAAATAAGTTTAAAAAAAAAAGATGTATCATCAGAGTGCCTGCCCCTTTCTCATGGATAAATTCTATAATTCTTCCTGCAACCTCCTCCAACACTGGACCATGACTCACTAATTTAATCATGAGTAGTGGTAAAAGAGTGGGAAGTAAAGGGGAAGTGAGGGCTGGGGATATAGTTCAGTTGGTAGAGTGCTTGCCTTGCATGCACAAGGCCCTGGGTTCAATTCCCAGTACCACACACTCCAAAAAAAAAGGAGAGTGAGGGAAGGTTGGAAAAATTAGGGGAGCAGTGTTGGGAAATGAATGGTGGGAAGGAGGATTTCAGCCAGTGCTGACCCTGGCTTCAGGGCAAGGACAGACATTCCTAAAGAGTAGATTTAAAAACTGGTGTATGTTCTTCTTGGATTAACATATCTATTGGGTTTCTTACATTTGCCTTTCTTCTAGAGAGCAGAAATTATCCACCATCTGGCAGATCTGTTGACAGACCAGCGGGATGAGATCCTGTTGGCCAACAAAAAAGACCTAGAGGAGGCAGAGGGTAAGGAGTCATGCGAGAGGAGGGAGGAGGGCAGGTATTCATTCTCGTTATTGCTGTTCTTTGTTTTACCAGTAACTCTTAGGTGTGCCTAAAAGTAAGATTGTTATAGAAGCAATTACATATTGTGCATCATTTTATGGAGGTTGTATGGCTAGAACTGGTTAGGTTTTTTTCAAACTACTCTTAGTATTCCTCCCTCTTCCCCATGTATTTCAGTAAGACTCCCAAAAGGACTTTTCCTGTTTTCCAGAGATCACATGAGTGTGGCTTTTATGGTGATTTCAGGCCCGGATAAGGAGAATGAGAAACCCTGTGCTTTAGATGTTCAGCTAATAGCTACCAGCGGTTATTGAGGCCTTTGTATATTAGCAGGTGCTGTGCTAAGGGTTTGACCAACAGAATTGCCTTTATTCTTCACAACATAATATGTCTGAAGGAGCTGCTCTTTGTCATCTCCATTTTATAGAGGAGGAATCAAAGCTCAAAGAAGCTGTCACTTTCCCAAAGCCATATGGCCACCAACGGACCTGGGATTCCAACACAGATGGAGTGTACAAATAAGAGAGTCATAGAAATAGTTGGTTCAGACTCTGATGAGAGATGAGTTGTCTCTTGGTTCATTTTCGCTTGAATAAGTGAATCTTCACTTAAACATCCATATGAATGGTGTTCCCATCAAAGAAACCTTGCAGGGCTTCTCAGCCTCCCTGTCCTTCCTTTACAACACTTTTAAAGCATTGTTTCAGAATTTCCTCTAGAGATTGCTTGTAGTTTTTCAAATGTTCATAGTATTGGAAAGTCACAGAATGGATTTTAAGAAATGGAGGAAATCTTTGATAATGCCCAATTCTTTTAACTTTAACTAGTAAAGTAGTTAAGACCCACAAAGGTTAAAGCTGTTGCTCAGGATCACTCAGCTGCTTGGTGGTCTTGGGCTTCTAACCCCAATAATATCTCTGGAAACACACACAGGTGCACACCTGCAATCCTAGCAACTAGGGAGGCTGAGAGACAAGGATCATTTCCAGCCTGGGCAATGTAGCAAGACCCTGTCACAAAATAAAAACTAAAAAGGACTAGGAAGTAGCAGATAGTAGTTCAGTGGTAGAGTATCCTTAGGTTTAATCCCCAGCACCCCCCAACAAATTTTTTTAAAAAGAACAGAGTCCTGGGTATACATGAGCATGGTAATCCCCTTTGACTCAGTAATCCTAATTCATGGAATTGATCCTAAGAAAATATTTCAAGAGGAGAGAACAGCTCTGTATGTAAAGATTCTTGGAGAAGGATTATTTATTACACTGAAAAACTGGAAACACCCCAAGTGTCTAATTGCATAGGCTTCATTCAGTACATTAAGCTGTATCAACTCAGTGGAATATTTAGTATTGACTAAAATGATAATTTTTACAACATGGAAAACATACTGGCATTGTGAAGCAAAAAACCTAGAATGTAATGTTTAACATGTACTGTAATTAAAACTTGTTTTTAATCACATGTAAAAAATAAAAGAAAGTAAAGAAAATTGATTGCTATTCACAGTATAACTGATTTGTAGAATGGTTTAATTTTTTTCTTAAGGTTGGTTCCTCCTCTCCAAAGTAGAAATATTTTATTATTTTCACCTTGATGTGTGTGACTATTAAAGATAAAGGAAATTTTTTCATAAACAAACATTAACCACAGTAATTAATTTGTTATATGTGATTCCAAATGGTTTTCCCAAGCATATAAACGTGTGTGTGTGTGTGTGTGTGTGTGTGTGAGAGAGAGAGAGAGAGAGAATGAATCACACTATACATACTGTTGTATTTAAAGAAAATTCTGTGTATGAACCTACCATAATTTTAACTTTATTTTAGAAGAAAATATTTTCATTGTTTCTGGTTATAAAAATAGTTCCCTCATTATAGAAAACTAAAATACAGAAAGATAAAATAGGGATCATCACTGTTCTTGCTGCCTTCTGGGGGTCTCCCTGTGCACACGTAGAGATACACTGTTTGATAAATAGGAGTGTTTCAGCTGGGGATGCATTTCTTCAATCCCTTGTAACAATAAAACAAAAAGGAGTGTATCATACATGCTGTTACAGTTTGCCTTTTTTACAAACTGTACCCTAGGTAACTTTCCATGTCAGTTAGCACATGTTTATTATTTATGGTAACTGCATTGTAGCCCGTTGTTTGCATTTTTAGGTGGAATGCACTTTCTTGCTATTATAAAAGGATATTGTACATATCCTTATCATATGTAGGCTTGCTCACACAAATGACAAATTTCTGAAACTAGGATTGCTGGCACAAAGAGTATTGATGCATGCACCTTTACATGATGATATGTACTGCCACACTGCCCCCTGGAGAAGCCATGTAAACTGTATGCCACACATGTGACATTGCACAGAAACAGACATGATCAATGTCACATGTTCAGTAAAACTCAAGACATGTCAGTTGGTGGCTGCAGCCTGCAGATCTGCTACTTCATCGCATATCCCTGTCACCTTTTCAGGGAGACTTGCAGCCCCTCTGCTAAAGCGTCTAAGCCTCTCCACATCTAAACTGAACAGCCTGGCCATCGGACTACGGCAGATCGCAGCTTCCTCGCAGGACAGTGTGGGACGTGTTTTACGCAGGACCCGAATTGCCAAAAACCTGGAACTAGAGCAAGTGACAGTCCCAATTGGTGTTCTACTGGTGATCTTTGAATCTCGCCCCGACTGTCTACCCCAGGTGCGTGACAAAGGCCTTGCCAATGGGGGTGAGGGTTGGAGGAAGCACGTGTTTTCAGTACTGGAGACAAGTTTCCCAAAGATAATTTGTGTGTGTGTGGAGGGTTTTATGGGACCCGCCCCCACCCAAAAAGATAACTTTTGAGATGTCCAAGATTTATGTCCTTGATTGTTCTGGTAACCCCAAAGTAGGTATTCAGAGGTTCATTTTACAGTTGAGGAAACCAAACCTTATAAAAGCTCATGTTCCTGTGGCACTTGTAAGAGAACAGCTGTTACTGGAGCCCAGAGCAACCCACTGTATAACAATGCGAGAGGAATTTCCAAAGATGTTAGCTCATGGGGCACTTTGTTCTCTGACCGAAGGCTCCTGCTAGCCTGCTGTGATCTATTATTCTGATAACTGGCCTTGCCCATGTGAAGGCCCTCGTTATCAGTGACACACATGTCTTCCTGTGGGTATACCTCCTAGAAAAAGAACTTCCAGTAGTTAATGGAAACTGGAATATAAGTCTTTAAGGAAAGTTCAGAAAGTGGCCATGCTGGGAAACACAAGGTGGCATTAGAGAGCAGCCTCACTTGATTTTAATTCTCCCAGAAATCTGAAATGTTTCCCCACTGGATGGTCAGCAGTATGATACCAGCTCTTTTTTCACCCTACCCCCAAAGTCTCCAAGGGAAATTCTAATTTAAGACAAAAAACCAATACCTATATGTATAAAATATTAGGGACCAGGGGGATCCAGATATTCTGTAGAGGGTACTCTCTGACATGACCTCAATTTGGTATTTAATTCGCTCATCAGAGTCCTCCAAGTCACGGAGGATACCACCCCTCTGTTCTGTGAACAGAACAGTGGTGACCGCATAACTCACCTGTGATATTAGAAATGGGTCCCAAGTCTTTGTGAACTGTGTTCACCAAGTGTCTCTGCTTCTTCTCTTCTACACAGCTAGTTTTTTATAAAAAGTAAGCTTTCCTCTCACTGAGGCTCCCCACCTGGGATCTTAACCTGTATGGTAACACAGACTCAATGAATCCTTAAAATTATATACAGAATGCCCCATGTCAGTGCATTTATCTAGAGAAAGTTTACATAACTTTATTAAGGACCTATGAGCAACATAAGCAAATAAAAATGGTTTAAGAACCATTAATCTGGGCTGGGGTTGGGCTCAGAGGTAGAGCACTGGCCTACCATGCGTGAGCACTGGGTACGATGATTCTCAGTACCACATAAAAATAAAAAGAAGATATGTGTTCACCTATAACTAAAAAATAAATATTTAAAAAAAGGAACACCTAATCTGGAAATTAACATGGTCAGACAAGTTTTTTAGTAAAGTGCCTTCCTGCTTTCCCTACAAAAGCAGGAAGATTTTCATTCATTCCATGAGAATTCAGAATATTAAGCTTCAGGCTTAGGATGATCAGGTCAGTGTCATCAACTCTGCTTTAATAAAGAAGCTACCCTCCTCCTGGATGCCCTAACTTCCTACCCAGACCCCAAACAGTATGTGCTCAGCAGTCTCTGCTGTTGCTGTCTGAGGTTGGCAGGAGCTCTGGTCTTCTCTGAGGTTCCTAGCTTGAGCCATTTAGAGCCCTCAGAACAATTCCAGAGCTGAGGTGCTGCCCAACCTCAGCTTGAGTCAGATGGAGCAAGCATTTCCCTGCAGAGCCAGCTAAGCACACAGTTCTTCACAGTAGCCAGAGTTGGGAGGCGGGCTGAGTGACTGGTCTCTGAACTCAGGCTGCATTGCTGGTGGTGCTAGGGAGGCCTTATCATCTGGTTCCTAAGATCCAGGTGATTTGGCTCTGAAGTCACCACCTCAGGATGGCTCCCAGCCCTGCCTTTTATAAATTACACGACCTCGGAGAGTCACCGGGCTCTCTAGACTTAAGTATAAAGTGACATAAAACAGGTATTTAATTCGCTCAGATGTGAAAATGAGAGCATAGCTCTGAAATGAAGTGCTCCAAAATATGTTAACATTACTGTCACTCTTGTTTTTTCCCTTTGATCCCCTGCTCTCCCCTTTGGTCTGAAGGTGGCAGCCTTGGCTATTGCAAGTGGTAATGGCTTATTACTCAAAGGAGGAAAGGAGGCTGCACACAGCAACCGGATTCTCCACCTCCTGACGCAGGAGGCCCTCTCAATCCATGGAGTCAAAGAGGCCGTACAGCTGGTAGGTCCCTGGAAATGATCCAGGTGAGGCCGTGTCAGATCGGTGGGAGTTTGAAGCAAAGCTTGGGCCCCATGGGGGCAAGACACTACTATAGGAGGCTTGATCAGAGTTGGAGCAGGTGCTGTGAGCTTGCAGACATTTGGCCGTTACAGTGGCTGGATAGACTAGGTAGACTGCCAGTGGCTTGGGAAGGCCACTCCCATCAGATGTGTCCTGGCACTCCTGGTTTCCAAGAATGTCAATTAGCCCTCTTTGTTTGGCTCATGGAGAATACCAGTCCTAGAGTGTGAGGCCCCGGTTCTTCTCATTGCTGTAATGTAAGTCAGATGAGATACATATGTCATAAACTGTCATGCAGCATGTAAGAATGAGATCATGCTATTATCACTACCATCATCATTTTAACCAACCATTGTCTCCCTCTCCTCAGATATCAAATGAAGTTTGACAGTAATTGCTATAATTCATTGAGTACCTACTGTGTGTAAGGTACTTTTTATCTATTATCTTTTTTAATCCTCACAACAACCCTATAAGGAAATTATCATTCATTATTAGGCCTGTTTTCTAGATTGGAAAAAAGCAGACTCAGAAGTAAAGGAATTGACACAGAGCACCCAGTCTATGATAGAGTAAATTTGGGGACTGGGTTGTGGCTCAGTGGTATAGAGTACTTGCCTAGCACGTGTGAGGCACTGGGTTTGATCCTTAGCACCACATAAAAATGAATATATACAAAAATATATTGTGTCCATTTACCACTAAAAAAATATATATATACGAAAAAAAATTTGGACTGAGACCACCTCCAGATCCTTCCCTCTATCCATCAAGACCCCCTTGTTCCAATATCCCTGGGTTCTGTTGGCCACTGGAAGAATGTCTGCAGACCTGCTGCATTGCGTGCTCAAGAATGAGAATCTAGGTTTGTCTTACCGCAAATAGATAGGTGGAAAGAACACAGTTCCCAACTCCAGCACATCTTGATCTAGATCGATTCCCTCCCTCTTTTCCTGTTGATGTGTAACATACATGCAGTAATATATATATCCTGTTATGAACAACTCTGTGACTTGATCCATACATGTACACATACATGACCTCCAGATGTAGCACACTCCCCAAGATCTCAGAAGGCTCTCTGAGATTCCCAATTACTATCCTCAATTCCCAATTACTCTCAGCACAAGGTAACCACTTTTTTTTTTAACTTCTATCACATTTAATTACTTTTACCTATTCTTAAACTTCATAAAAATGGAGTCATCTAAAATGCTCTTTTATGTTGTGTGTCTTTTGTTCATCATTATCTCCTTGACTTTCATCCACATCATTGCACCAAGCAGCAGTCTCCCCTCCTTATAGCTGTGTATTCCATTTACGTACATATACTACAGTGCGTCCTTTCTTCTGTTGATGAATATTTGGGTGCTTTCCAGTTGGGGCTATGCAGAATAAAGTTGCTGGGAGTATTCTGGTACATATACATTTATGTTTTTGTTGTAACGTGATCAGTTGGATGGGGTTAAAAATCAAGAAGAGAAAGCAAAATGCCCATTAATCTCAGTGTCCTGACACAAGCTCTTTATAATGAGTCCAGTCAGCATGCCAGCAGAAAGGTTATCTGCAAAAGTCCCAGAGACCTGTGGCTTCCTAGCAAGACACAGCATTTCCTCAGAGCAGCCACTTCCTTTAATGACCCTCCTAGCCTGGCACCCTCTGTACCACCTTGAATTTCCACAGATAGCATAGTACCACCTCTGGCATCTAAAAAATTATGTGCTCTGTATTATGGCTGTTGTGGCCTACTCCTGCTTTCCCTATAAGACTCTGAGCTCTGTAAGGCACAGATTGTTTGCTGCGTGCTTTGTAACAGAGAATGTAGCTCCAGGTCTGTAGTTTTTGCTGGACAGTATTTCAATTCCCATGATCAGATATTTAAGCTTCTTTTCAGAGTAAGTTTTCCCAGCACCTGGTTTGGTTCTCAGGGTATGCAGACATTTATGTAGAAAAAGGGAAGCTGCTAGGCTAGGATTGTGGCTTAGCAGTAGAGAGCTTAGCACATGCAAAGCCCTGGGTTCAACCCTCAACACCACATACAAATAAATAAAATAAAGGTATTGTGTCCAACTACAACTAAAAAAAAATTTTTAAAGTGGGGGAGGGGGCTGCTATTCCTATATTTTGTGTGGCTAGACAATGTCTGTCTTTATCTTACTTTCAGGTGAATACCAGAGAAGAAGTTGAAGATCTTTGCCGCCTAGACAAATTGATAGATCTGATCATTCCACGTGGCTCTTCCCAGCTGGTCAGAGACATTCAGAAAGCTGCCAAGGGGATACCAGTGATGGGACACAGTGAAGGGATCTGCCACCTGTATGTGGATTCAGAGGCCAGTGTGGATAAGGTCACAAGACTGGGTGAGCCGGATTGGGTCTCCTGTGTGGTGAGGGTGCCATAGTTGTGGATCACATTAATTAGAAGTAATTCTTTACTCCTCTTGCAGTCAGAGACTCTAAATGTGAATACCCAGCCGCCTGTAATGCTTTGGAGACTTTGTTAATCCACCGGGATCTGCTGAGAACACCGTTATTTGACCAGATCATTGACATGCTAAGAGTGGAACAGGTAAGCAGACCCACAGGACTAGTACGTTACCTCCCGTTCATGGGCCAGACCAGGACCAACTGCCATACCATTTAAGTCAATTTAGGAAACAGTACTTTTGAGTCAGTGCTATGTCTAAAGTGGTATGCTAAGTACAATGGTGAGTAAACCAACCCTGCCCTCCTGCAGCCCAGTGGATGGACCAGACCTCTGCACAGGTAGCTATATTACAAAGTGCTGTGTTCCGTGCCGAGATAAAGACAGACCACATGGTAGTGTGCTGAGTAGACACTTTTTAGCGACCTTTTATTCAATGGCAAAGTTTAAAGTTTGTTTATATTCTTTTTTGGATTTGATTTGAAAAGGTCATGCAGAAATGTTTTCAAACCAAAACTTTGTATATATTCACACACCCACATGTCTTCAGTTACCAATAATGATATTTGGAGTCAACAATTTGTATAGTGTCCTCTCTGGATTATGTTCCTATCTTGTCGTTAAGGTTAGAAACAAACCAAATCCAGTAATTTTCAAATATAAATTTATACTGTGTCCTAAATTCATGATTGCAAAGTAATGGAAATTCTCAAGGCAAATGGGCAATCTGTTAAACTTCCTGCATGGATGCATTTCAGCTTTGATAGCCAGTGTCATGGTGCTCTTTCAGAATTGCATAAGCTTGCACAGCCGGAGGGAAGGTGCCTGCTGGCCTCGGTGGCTTTGACCCTGACGTGTCTCTTCCTTCCATTTGCTGAAAAGGGAGATTCCAATCTGTTTATAAATGTGGCATGGTCCCAGTTAGAACCTGAAAGGATTGTTTTGAAAATGAAAATGCACCCTACAAAGTAAAGGGGAGTTAGATCACATGATAGTCGTGTTACAGTGCTTACTTTACATTAGTGGACTGTTTGATTGGATGCCTATGGATGCCAAGCACCACAGTGATTTGGATAGACCACAGGAAACACTCCTTTGGCCAGGACTAAATCCTCCTGGTCTTTATGTGGACAGACCCTTGATACCTTAAGTCATCAAAAATGAGGATTGCCTTGAATCTCCTAAAACCCAGATGAGTCCATGTGTATACTTCCTGCAGCACCTTTATATGCAGGCAGCAAACCCAATGGGGTGACTTGCTCAAGCTCAGGGCTCCTGTATCTGATGAACATGGTTTGACCCAGTCCTGGAGGACAAGGGGTCCCAGATAGAAAACCATGGCAAGACCTCAGGAGCAGTGAGAACAAGACAGATACTACTATTATAACAGGAGCCAAGGCAAGAGCCTGGCCCTGGAGAGTCAGAGTATGTACCCTGTCCCAGGTGGTCTCCGAGAACAAGGCCTAAGTGGGATCAGACTTGTCCTGGGACTTTAGTGACCAGCCTCGGAGCCTTACATTCTACTAACCAAGAGCAGAATTAGTGCCAGAACCTGGGGCAGAGACTGACCCAGTCAGAAATCCAATAGAGAAGCTGGGCACAGTGGCTCATGTCTGTAATCCCAGGGGCTCGGGAGGCTGAGGCAGGAGGATCACAAGTCCAAAGCCAGCCTCAGCAAGAGCTAGGTGCTAAGCCACTCAGTGAGACCCTGTCTCTAAATAAAATACAAAATAAGCCTGGGGATGTGGCTCAGTAGTTGAGTGCTGCCCCTGAGTTCAATCCCTGGTAACAAAAAAAAGAAAGAAAGAAATACAACAGGTAACCATAGTTTGCAGTACCAACAGAACCCGAATGCTGCTTACCTCTAAAGCAAAGCCACCCACCCAGGCTTCTCCAGGGTGCAGTGAATGGAAATGTGTATGTGATGCCTCCCTCTCTCCATACAAGTTCCAGGCCTAGTTCCCACATTGCAGGGAAGGATTATTATAGTTAAGTGCTCAATTTAGTAAAATGTCAGAAGTTAAGGGCTTGTGTCCATAACCCATTCAGTGCCTTGCACACTCTTAACACTTAAATGTTCCCTACTTAAATCCCTGCTCTAACCTTTCTCAAGGGCCCTTTGCTGGCAAGTGGCCAGTCAGGCCTTCTGAAAGCAGAGCTTGCAGGGCGGGAAGGCAGAGCCACGTCTGTCCTCCAGGCCCCATTGCTGCTTGGGCTGTGATTTTTCCAGGCTCTGTGATGTTGCACAGACTCATCCTGCTATTTGATCTTATTGCTTGCTTATTTTTATTGTTTTTACATTGTAGTCCCTGCCCTTGCTCTATTCCAGGTGAAAATTCATGCAGGGCCCAAGTTTGCCTCCTATCTGACCTTTAGTCCTTCAGAAGTGAAGTCACTTCGAACAGAGTATGGGGACCTGGAATTGTGCATTGAAGTGGTGGACAGCGTCCAGGAAGCCATTGACCACATCCACAAGTATGGCAGCTCCCACACGGATGTCATCGTCACAGAGAATGGTCAGTGTGTGGGTGCTTCAGGCATATGGTGTCTGCTTTATCCCCTTTGATCTCCAGGTGGTCCTGCTCCTCTCATCCCTGGCTCTACAGAAAAACAATCCACAGACTAATAATAATCCTTGCACAGGCTGCATTTGGGGTGCGCTGAGTGCTTTCACATCTGTTAGCTTGTTGCTTTGTCACAGTGGCCCAGTTGGCAGGGGGCAGGGCAGAGATGATCAGCTCTGGTTTAAAGACTGCTTACCCTGTTTCAGAGGCATTATTGTTAAATCCATGCAACCATTCTACCAGGTAGTTAAGAGAAACTCATTTTGCAGCTGAAGAAGAAATCTGGGCCCACTCATTCATTCAGTCCACAAATAACATTGAGAAATACTTCTAGGTGCTGGGCCTGGAGGCCCAGTGGTGAAGGGACTTGTATGACTCCCTGAGCAATTCATAGCTAGTTTATTGGGGATCATAACCACACTGCCAGTAATGACAGCTAGGCATTGGGATGAGTGCACGCAGGTGCCAACTCAGTTCATCGTATCAAGACCTTGTGAGCCAGGTGATGTCTTTCCCTTTTTATTCACGTGCAGAGTTGTTCAGACACCTGTTCCAGGTCACGCAGCTAGTGGGTTTAGACTTATGGTTTAGACCTAGGCAGTCTGGCTGTGGAACCTGTGAATAGGGACAGACTATGGCAGCACTGAGGCAGAGCTGCTTGGGAGATCTGGATTTAGCCCAGTCTGCACAACATTGGCTGATGGTGCTGACTTTCCATTGTTCTCTTCAGAACCTTCACAAGCCTGCATGTTTAATATGTGAAGAGAACACCTGGGCACCTGGACCCTGCCCAGATCTGTCACTAGGGATGTTCTCTTTGGGCCATCCTAACTCAGTTTCTCTTTATTTACCCTGCAGAAAATACAGCAGAGTTCTTCCTCCAGCATGTAGATAGTGCCTGTGTGTTCTGGAATGCCAGCACCCGCTTCTCTGATGGCTACCGTTTTGGACTAGGTAAGAAAAACAGGTCAGGGGAGAAAGGAGTCACTTGTGAATCACTGTATGATCCAAAGATCCTGGTGAGGTGGGGGAGACGCGTCCCCTTTACTGTCACAATCATGAGCAAGATAATAGAGACAGATTAGTGGTGAGGTGAAGAGAATCATACAGGCCACCCACCCTGAGTTGATAGATATCTTCTGCTTTGGCATTTCACATGTTAAGAAAAGGTAGGTCCTTATGTTTCTTTTTCATAGATGAGGAAACCAAGAGTCAAAAAATTCGAATAACTTGCTAATATTCAGATCTAGACCTTAATATGTGTGAGTCCAAAACTTAGTGCTTCCATTGCAGTACAGGCAGACGTAGCTTGTCTTTGCGTAGGCCATGATAGATGAGCATGCCACGGTCCCTCGAGAATACCCCATAGCAGACTTATCATTTCAAAGTGACACAGCCAGGTTGCCTAAGAAATAGAAACCACAAAACAGGGCAAGAGAAGGTGCTGGGACCTGCACTGAGCCTAAGTACCAGGCCCACGCATTCATTCAGTCCACAAATAACAAATATCAAAATGAGACAGGTCGGGGCTTAGTGGTAAAGCACATGCTTAGCATGCACAGGCCCTGGCTTCACTCCCCAGCAGAATCTGAAATGAAAATCTTTAGAAAGACGCCCTCTCTCTCTAGTTCCATTATTTATAAACTCTCTAGTCCTCTAGTGTGTGGGTTACTGGGATGGTCTCTGGTTTTCAGGAACACTATGATACAGAACTACACTGAGACATTTATGACACATTTTCTGGATATTTGAGAATTATTTCAGCCACTTAAAATGTTTTGCCTTGTGCATGCCTATAATCACAGTAGCTTGGGAAGCTGAGGCAGAAGGGTTATAAATTCAAGATCAGCTCAACAATTTGGCAAGGCCTGAAGCAACTTAGCAAGAATCTGTCTCTAAATAAAAAGTGAAAATGGAGTGGGAATGTAGCTCAGTGGTAAAGTGCCCCTGGGTTCAGTCCCCAGTGCACCACCACCCCACCCCACCCCAGCAAAAAAATTAAAAACCCAAACATTTTAATGCCCCTGAACTTTTAAAATAAATGACCTGCCTGGAAAATTGGTTCTCAGTGAATTGTTAAACATTATTAAAGGGAATTTTTACTTAGTTTTTTAGTCATTAGATTCATTATTTTTAGTTCCCATTTCTATCATGTAGGGGTTTTGATTTAATTATCACATCACTTACCCTGAACTTGTACCCCATGTTCTTGACAAAGAAATAGCTGCATACTCTTAAGGGCTGAGTTCCATAGCATTCAAGTAAAATCCAGGGTGGGAGAGGAGTAAAATTCCAAACTCCAGTTGAGTTAAATTTCTGTGAACTGCCTCAATGCTGGTGACAGTTGTTTACTGAGTGCTTACTACAGGTCTGACACCATGCTAAGTGTATTGCAGGCCTTATCTCACTTAGAACTGCAAAAGGGTATCTGTTGTGTTCCTGCTTTTCCAAATGAAAAAGAACTGCAGCATGAGAGACAAGTTAGATAACATGCCCAAAGGCCCAGAACCTGAGTCCTGACCCACTCTCTTTGCCTCATCCAAGCACACCTCCTCAGGTCTCTGCACTTGCTCCTCTCTCTGCCTGTAGCACCTCTCACCTGCTGCTCCCCAGCCAGCTCTTCATGGTTCAGGCACCTCCCTGTGGAGGTTTTCCCTGACCACCTTACACAGCATGTCCCCAGTCCTGCCATTAAGTCTTTGTCATGGCAACCCTTGGTGTACTTGAGCTTCATGTAAGATTATTTACTGAGCTGCTTTTTGACGGCCTTGCCCACTAGAACATCAGCTTCACAAAAACAGAACCTTGTATTTGTTATTCACCACTTTATCCCCAGGGCCCAGCACAAGGTCTGGTACTTAATACATGGCCAGTAAAGTTGCAATGAATGAGGGAACCCTTTCTCCACTGAATACAGTGCAGAAAACCAAGCCAGACCCAAGAAAACCTCTGGTGTTCTCCTGCTCTAAGTTAGGAATAGGAAGGAAGGGAAATGAACAATAACTTTTTATGTGCTCAGAAACTGTCTAATGAATGTACTGTTAGATGGGAGAGCTACTAAAAACCTAAAAAGTAAGGGTACTTTTTAGGATTTAAAGAATATTTGGAGAGATGAAACCTCCATACTAAACATTGTTGTACACTCAGAACATGCCCAAATCTCCAAATATGGATAGATAGATAATTCAGATGCTAAACTGACAGTGGAGATACTTTTAATTGTTCAAAATGCCATAGAGATCAAGAGAGGAACTCAGGGTATATCATAAGAAGGGGGGGGGTGCACCGTGATACATGGTGACTATAGAACATTCTGATGGAGTGGTGGGACTGCAGCTGGCCTGGGAAGGATGAGTCAGGAGTTGGCAGATAGAGAGAGGGTGCCCGGTGAGGAGAAAATATGGGTCTGGTGTTGACAGGAAGCGGAGGCTGAGAAAAGGCACTCCTTTATCCATGCTTTTTTGCAGGAGCTGAAGTGGGAATCAGCACGTCACGAATCCATGCCCGAGGACCAGTAGGCCTTGAAGGACTCCTTACTACTAAGTGGCTTCTTCGAGGGCAAGACCACGTGGTCTCAGACTTCTCAGAGCATGGCAGTTTGAAGTATCTTCACGAGAACCTCCCTGTTCCCCAGAGAAACACCAACTGAAAAGATCCAAGAAACCAGGAATAGTCCAAGAAGTCGTCACAGTTCCTCCAGCCTTAAGAATCTCTATGGAGAAGCCGGATCCTGTCTCCCGTTCCCTAGAAGGGTCTGCCATTGGAAAGTGCACCTAGATGCTTCTGGGCTCAGTTGGGACTCTCGGTCTTGGCTAATGTTCATGTTTCCATCCCACTCCTTCACTAAGGAAATAACTGCTACAGATAAGGACTTGGCTCTGCCTAGTCTAGCTCCCTTCAGTGATAGAAGCAGAGGTGCAGTTTCCCCCTGTGAACAGCAAGGAGAAACCCTGGTTGCTTTTTATCACCTCAGTGAGGTAAGGTCTCCCTTGGCATGTGGTTGGTTCTAGCGCCATCATCCCTAATCCGTCTTTCCACACTTCCTTGCATTTCTCCCACACATAGTCATCTTCAAAAAGAAAGACTTGGAATTTTAGAAAAGGGGCAGCTCTTCTTTAAAGCATTCTCATCAGAAACAAGATTAAAATGGACTGGGAAAACTGGCCTTTTGTGTGCATTTGTGGAATAGGTAAAGTGAGCATTGCAGGTACCTGCAGCCTGTCCCTGTACTGGAGGTGCACGGAACCTGCAATACAGTGGAACCTGAGTGGCAGACAGGAAATACAAGTTTCAAGATGTTTCCACCAAGCAGAAGGAGTATCTGCGCCAGTTATGCTTGAAATTTTTATATGACTAATTTTGTCATCCTGTCCTTCGCCCCCAAACAAAGATTAGAGGATTATTTTAATACTTTGGATTCTTCCCTCTTTTTGAAAAATAAAGTTCTTATGAAAAGCCTGGGTGCATGATTAAAATTTTCTCCCTTATTTGTCCTCACTCTCTTCTTCTCTTTTCCTCCCGTGTGACCTTCTTGCCCCTACTCTTAGGCATGCTCTGTTCTCTGGAAGTTGGTTGAGGAGACAGGCCAACTGTCTTGGCAGTGTCCAGGGCAGCTGCACAGGCAAGCCCCCAGGAGAGAGGGTAGGAAAGCAGAGAGCAAGCCTCAAGAGCTCAGAGGCTGGGTGGTGATGGTCTGAAGTCGGTGGCTGTGTACAGCATGGGCATTCTTTTGCTGTGTCACATCTCACAGCAGCCTCTCAGCCAGCCGTGGTCCCAGCCGTCATCCTTAGTTCACTATGGAGGTAACTAAGTTTGCCTGCCTCTAGGTCACCTGACAACTCTTAATTCCTCCCTCTACCTCCTGTCCTTAGAGTCCCTGGTGCCCAGCAGTCTGCACTTGAAAGATTTCTTGTCTCAAGGGGGTTGGGGACCTGAAGAAATAAGCACTGGCTGTCAGGCCACTGCTTATCCTCTGAGGATGCTTTATGAGCATAAGAATTACGGTGTCGTGTGGAACATGTTCCCAGGCTGGCTCCAAACTACCTCTCATTCAGACCCTTACATGGTCTGGCAAGTCACCCTGCCTGCCCTGCCCCATGAAGGGGGAATTCTGGCATAGCTAGCCTGAAAAGGCAATAAACAAAGTCCTGCTGAAACTATCGCAAATACCACAATCAGCTCCCAAGCAGACAACAGATGCCCCAGAGTCTAAAATAGAACCCTGCTCAAGAGAGCCCTTGGGGAGGACTCCAGTGAGAAGAATCTGGGCTCTGAGGAAGTCCTGGAAGTAGCATGTGGGCGGGCATCCAGGCAGCGGGCTGGTGCAAGCAGGTCCAGAGAAGGGAGTTGAACTAGCAGGCCTGGGAGCAGCAAATACGCCAGTTTAGGGCAGAAGGCCATGGGTAAACAGGAAGGTCTCTCCTGAACAGTAGTGTTGGCACTGGAGCCTGTTTCTCATGGGATGAGAGTGGGCTTTAGCCCAGAAAAGGCATATAAGACAGTTACCTAACAGAAACCTCACCCCTTGACCAATTTCTACAGAGACCATGGGCCACCGGCATTCTGCCTTTTCTACCAAAACTGAAGCAACCCCTAAGAGGGACCAGGAGGCCGCCATGGTCTTGTGAGTGCCCCCACTCAGGCAGTCTGCTAGTGGTTACTGGCTTGTCCTATAAGAGGAGCTTTTTAATCTGACATCTCACTTGCTTCCACCTGTGCCTGGGAAATCCACCCCTGATCTCTCCTGATTCTCCCCACTACTTCCTTGTCCTGGCCACCAACTCCTGACAACACATACTGTGGAACCAACCGATCCCGAAGTTCCCACCTCACCCACCAAGGGGAGGAAATCCTCTGGGATATGTAAGGTTAATGTTCTCATTCTTCAAGTCACTTTCTGGGGTTTAGGGTTTCTGTTACTTGAATCTAAAAGTATCTCAAGGACACAGGATGGATGTATACTAAGAGGGCAATGAGTACCAAGGAATTGTCTGCCCTCTAGCTCTTATTTTATGGAACTATCTCCTATTTTGCAGTACACCTGCCCAGTCTGTGTGGCTCCCAGGAGGGATACTGATCTTTCCACCGTTTTTATTTTATTGTTTTATTATCATTCTCTGAGTACCAGGGATTGAATCCAGGGGCCCTAACCACTGAGAAATATCCCCAGCCCTTTTTTATATTTTATTTTGAGACAGGGTCTTGCTAAATTTCTAGAACTGGCCTTGAACTTGCTATCCTCCTTCCTCAGCCTCCCAAACTGCTGGGATGACAGGTCTTCGCTACCACACCTGGCTTCCACCATTTTTAGTGATGGGCACATGACTCAGGCCTGATGAGTCAGTACTCTGTTGCTTAGCGTTACTGCAGGGTTTGGCATATGATTAAAATTTGGTCAAACAACAGGCTGATGGAATTTTTACTGTTATTATTGGGGGGGGGGGCTCTTTTCCCCTGGGAACATAAACCTTTTAAGTCTCAAGGAGGTCCAAAGTTGATAATGTCTATCCTTCTTGCCATGTAGAGAGAGCCTACATAAGAAGTGTCCAGACAATCTGGAGCAAGTGTGCACACCTATAATCATAGCTACTGAGGACTGAAACAGGAGGATTACACAAGGCCAGGCTGGGCAATATAGCAAGACCTTGTCTCATGCACATAAAATGGCTGGAGATGTAGTGAGTGGTATAGCACTTGCCTAGCAAGCCATGAGGTCCTTGGTTCAATCCCTAGCACTCGGAGGGAAAAACATCCAATTCAGGAAAGGGATTGAGAGCATAAAGTTTGCTCCACTTGCCTTCCACCTGTGCCTGAAATCCACCCCTGAACTCAATTCAATAATTTCCCTTTTTTCCTTAAACAAATTTGAGTTGGGTTTCTATTCCTCCCATCTTAGAACACCCTGGATAATATATACATACCTGGGTTCAAGTCCCTGCTCTGGTACTTATGACCTGGGTGACTTTGAGCAAGTTACTTTTGTAAGTCTCCATTTCTTCATGGAAATCGTAAGAACCTCTATTTCATAGTTGGCACTGTAAAAACTTGATATAGCACTGGCACAAAGCAAGTACTCAGTAAGAGAGAGATGGTCACTTGCTTTGATTCTTCCAGAGCCCAGTTGTGTGCTTGGTTCTGTTCTCCACGAGAAACCAGAAGTTTCTTCTGTTAATTATGAAGCAGATTTTTCCCATCTCAGCTGCATCTCGACACCAGAAGGCCAGCCTCACCCTTCACATGAGCAGTGAGGAGCAGAACATGGAGTCCAATCACACACTGAAGTACCTGAGTATGTTGTGGCTGCTATTGAGAAGGGTGTGAGGCAGCAGGGATCTTATTTTGAGCCTGAGAAAGAGACGGTGAGTCCAGATGACTGTCATCCACTGCCTGAATGAAGAAAAGTGACCCTTGGGTAGCTGAAGAGGAACAGGGCTACTTGTACTTAGTGGAGGGGAGCAAAGCAAGAGATTGTGAATGTCCAGATTTAATGTGAGCACTAGAGCAGAGTATGGGTGTGCTCTTCTGAGTTAGAAATTCATTTAAATCTCTAAGCAAATACAAAGGTTTGGTATATTTGGCTAAATCATATGGAAATCTTGCCTGGCTAAGATTTTTAATCTGTTAAGTCTCCTTTTTGACTCAGAGACAAATGTTGTTTATTTGTTATTACTCAACTACCTCTCAAGTGTACATGGAACAAAATATTTCTGGGTAGTATTCTCTGCTCTGTTACAGAGAGGATCTCAACAGCAGCAACAGTGGGGAATTTTTCTCGTCCAAGAAACAGAAACCCCAGTTTAGACTAGTTTTAACAAAAACAAAGATGAGCCAGACACTGTGGCACATGCCTGTCATCCCAGCAGCGGGATTGTCAGTTCTAGGTCAATCTGAACAACTTAGCAAGTCCCTGTCTCAGAACAAAACAAAACAAAACAAAAAATTAAAAAAGCTGGGGATGTGACCCAGTGATTAAGCACCCCTGGGTTCAATCCTGGGTAACAAAAGGGGTGGGGGTGAGGATGTAGCTGAGTAGTATGTGCCAAGCCCTGGGTTTGAGCCCAGCACTAGAAAATAAAAATTTGTATCCCAAACTCAGGAAGTCCAGAGGTACAGTTCAGACATCCTTTCCTGGGGGCTCTGGCTCTAAGTGGATCTCTGTAACTTCAGAATCATCAGAATCACCTGCAGAGCTTATTAAAACAGATTCCTGATTCAGCCTCTCTAGGATAGGGCTGAGAATCTTCACATCTAATAAGTTCCCAGGTACTGCTGCCGTCGCTGCCATTGCTCCAGGGTCCATCCTTTGAGAACCACAGCTCTCCTGTCTGCCAGCATCAGCCTGTTCACATTGTGGCTTAGGTGATGGGTGCGATCAGAAAACTGCTTCTTCCCACCACCATCAAACAAAAACCCCAAGCTTCACTCTTGTTAAACTGGCCTGAATCAATGGCTGTAGTAAATGGAGACATCAAGTTGAGCTGCAGGCCACAGAAAATCCAAGCTAGCTGAAACTGCAGATCTAGACCTGCTGTGCCAAAATTTCTAAGGGTGGGGCAAAGAACCAAAAAATTTAACAAGCCCCTTATGTGGTTTGTCCCTCCACTACAACCACTGCAAGTCATGTGAGAGTTTTATTTTTCTTTCATAATGAAAAGGCAAGCAGCTCTCTATTGAGAATAGAAACCCAGAATCTCTAACTTTAGGTCCTAACATTCTTATCATGCACGCTCCAATGCACATTATGGGCTGCTCCTCTGCACCTGTGCTCTGTCCATGTTCCAGGCAGGAAGAAGGGCTGAGGTGAGAAGTAGGCACAGCCCAACCCATTCCCAGTGACTGCCACTTAAATCTCATCAATAACTGTTTCATTGGCCATATGGCCAACTCTTACTGCAAAGGAGGCTGAAAAATATAGCTTTGTAGCTGGGCACATTCTTGCCCTAACAAAAATCAAGAACCTCTTATAAGGAAGAGGAGAGGAAAAGCATTGGGTGAACCACCAGCTGTGTTTGCCATTGTTACCTCTGAGATGATTTTGTAGTGCGTATTTTCTTGAAAGTCGGCTTTGTTCCCTTGAGTTTATGCCTGGATCTTGTCATATAGATTTTGTAGCAACAAACTGAATTGCTGTCTCAGAGATGGAGAAAAGGCAAAATTCCTGGGAAGGTCTGGAAAGGAAAGAGCAAGCTGTAGACCTGCCCTAAAAGAGGACACAATCTGAGGCTCAGCAAGAGATCAGACTGGTGAAAGCAAAATCACCAAAGTGTGAGAAAAGCCACCTGTCTTTAAACCAATGGCTTGATGGGGGTTGCTATGAACTGAATGTTATGTTCCCCTAAAATTAATATGTTGAAGCCCTAGGTCCCAGTGTGATAATATTTGGAGATGGGACATTTGGGAAGTAATTAGGTTCAGATGTGGTCACAAGAGTGAGGCCCTCATGAAGAAATTTTAGTGCT